ACGTCCATCTTTTATGAGAGATGGCAAGCTTTTTGTTTACATTCTTCATTTTGTTGGACTCCTCGGCAGGTGTGTGATTAGCCCTGGCACACGAGCGTCGTCTGCGTCAAGGCCAGCGTCTCCAGCAGCCTCTGGCACACGAGGGTTACCCACCACTGGAGACTCTTTGGAGAGGCTCAATTTGTATCCTATTATCCTATAAGAAAATGTCTATTCAGTCGAATGAATAGTTTCATTGGCCTAAATTTTAATAATGCTGTGAAAGAAGGGGAGAAATAAAGAAGAATGCAGCTGGTGTGAACGCGCATTATTCCCCGTCACCTGCAAGATGGGTAGCCTGGAGACCCCTATTCATTTGCCTAATTTCGGTCAACTTAACAAACTTTTGGAGAAATTATACTGCCATTGTTATGAAGGGTGAAGCTTTCTGATCGAATTAACAGCATGTTTTGATCCGGTAAATGTCATTAGAAAGAAAGAAACAATCGCGTTTAAAGGGGCCTGGGTAATGCGCCAAGTGGAGACGCCAACGCGCAAACTGCACAAAGGGTGCTAGTAAATGCCACAGGGGACTTTTGTACCCTCACATTGCTCAAGTTTTTCCCCCCAAACAAAGGGCATTATTTTATACTTGAATACATTTCATACAACAATTGGCTGTTTTCTTCAAACATATTTTCACATCAAGTTTAACAACAGGTTTATTGTGTGCGCTCCTCACAGATTCAAACTGCTCTCATGCGCCAAAACATTGCTCCATTTCTTTACTTTGTCACTGAGAACGTTTTAATCCTGAAACTTTCACCATGCTTGGATATATTTGATCCTGTGAGCAATGTCGAAGAATAAAAAGCGGCGGTAGTTGGGAAAGAAAGGCTCACAAGACATCTGAAGTGTTTGGAGAGTTTTCAGAGCACCATGGAGAGAAAAGCGCGAGCGACCGGGACGGGGGCATAAAATCCAATTACTTCACTGTGAAGTTTAACACTTTTTACGTGTTTGTCTTTTGAAAAATTGAGGGACTTGTGTGCTATTGCTAAAAAAACTGAATGAAATACTGGAAGTTTTTGCTGACCGACTTTGTAACGCCAAGTGTTGCGTCAGTACGAGGCCAAACGATGCGTCAGGATGTATTGTAGGAACTGTGGTGTGAACATTTAATTCCGTGTTAAAATATTTAGTTTTTTATTTTCCAACGACTGTTATTGGAAATAAACGTTTGATATATTGATGTGTTAAGCTCTTCTCAGTAAAATATTTGTCACGCCACTACATATTCACATTTTACATTTTATTTATCATGGTGCCAATATTGGTATGATTTAAAACAGCTTGTTGTTGTTTTACTTGTATTTATTGATGATTATTACGAACATATATACATAAAAAACATATTAGATTATTGGTTGAATTTGGTTATGCAGAATTGTTGCATTTCTTTGCACATGTGTAGGGCAAATTAGTATGAATTCTTTATCGATTTTTAAGGTGTGTCTTGGTAGCATTGATCTAAATAACCCTTACAGGCACTAATGTGCAGTAGGTACTGTGGAAAATGTTATTGCATAATGAGTCACTGCTGTGTTCTCAACATATTAATAAAGAGGTCAACGGATAGAACTACAATAATAGGTCATTAAAGGGTGCAAAGAAATCACAGCATAGCTACATAGAAATCCCTTTAGTACCATATGCATCCTGTTATTAGAGAGTGATGTCACTTTAAATATCTTTTATGCAAATCAAACGCAGCAGTCAGTTAGTTTAAGTTTTTTCCATGTAGCCCAGAGCAAGAAAATAATCATATTGAAAATAATCACATCCCTTAAAGGCACAAATGAATCAATCAGATGAGAACACGTGAGATCTGTGTGAACATGACACAATGACTGTTGCCCTCAACAGACAGCTATTACTTGTGTGATTTTATTATGAAATATCTAGTAGCCTAAATAGCATAAAGGCTACTGTATGTATTCAAAACACATTGCACATGTTTACATTGCTGCAGTTACTGGTGTGGTCAAATCATGCAGTTTTGGTTCAGCATACAAAACGCACACAAACAATCTCTAAAAAAATAATGCTTCTATAATATGACTCGAAATAATGTGTCTGCTCAGGGAATTTGTGGTGACTTAATCACTCGTTTCAATCTCCTGTGGTATCACTATAACATCAGTACACCAGCCCGTTACAGGAAAAATATAAACAAGCCTCCAGACAAGCCTAATTTATGATAGCAGCCCTGGTTTGGATTGTGTGTGTATTTGTGTGTGTGTGTGTGTGTGTGTGTGTGTGTGTGTGTGTGTGTGTGT